GGGACAGGACCGTCCTGATATTTTCAGGATGGAACCACAGATGCTGGACATGAGTGCCCCCCCCTTGGGGGTACCGCTAGGCAAACTGCTGCAGCTCTGGTGCACTAGGTACACACACACCTAAGCAGGAGTAACTGACTACAAAGGATGCAGGTGGGGCACTGGCCATTTGACCAACCCCACGGAGGGCTGGGATAATGCTCTCTCTGCTCTGGGTACCACCCCTGCCCTACGTCTTTCCCACTCCTGCTCTGCCCCCACCACACCTGTTCCCCCAAGCCTCCTTCCCCCCAGTGACATGGCCCCAGGAACTAGTGTGGGTCTGACGCACACAGCAGGGATCTGGCCCACCTGCACTCTGCAGTGGTGGCAAGGTGAAGTAGAGAGACATGGCTTTGTTCCTTGGCTGCCGACTGCATCACTCCACTTCCCAGTACAAAGTGGTGGCAGTCCCACCCCTCTCCCAAGTGATGCACCAGGAGCTGGGGACCACAGCTGCATTGCTCCAATTTCCACCGTGGCCACCAGTCAATGTGGGGAAGGAGAGAGATTCTCTCATCGGACACCAGACACCCACTTGTCCCCCAAAGCACCCCAGAAGCTCTGTTGCCTTGCCCCTCCCACTCATGATGTTTGCGGAAGGGACAAGGCCTTGAGATGCGCCCCCCCCCCACATTGTCAGTGCACCTAAGTAAAATACACATTTGTAACTCTTCAACAAATACCAATCCCTGTAGTACCCTACTAGCTATCCCCTCCCTTCCCCGCCAAACTTGATATATTGCTATTGACTGTCAGTGGACAATTTTCTGTTTGTGGGAGAATTAATTTTTCTAGAAAGATATGGAGACACAGTATTGAAAGATTTATTAAAATCCGTCATCCATCTTCTTTTATACAAAACTCTCCTGGGGATAGAATGGAGAGTTCTACTTAAAAATTCTCTAGTGGCACAATATTCTCCAAATATATTACACCTACCGCCCTACTGCCATCCACAAATGAGAAGTAACAGTTAATCCGAACTGAGGAATTAGTTCGGATTAACTTTAAACTGCTGCGTGTAGCCGCGGGCAGTTCGTTCGAACCAAGGGGGATTTAAAAATGTCAGCCGGACCAGAACATGCAAATAAAGCCCGGGATATTTAAATCCCGGGCTTCATTTGCAACTCCGGTTGCCTGATTTGCCTACCTAGCTTGAATTAACGAGCTAGTGTAGACATACCCTTACTTAGAGGTCCAAATATCACATTAACCCTTTTCACAACAGCATCACAATGGGAGCTCGTGTTCTGTTACTGGTCTATTATGACTCCTTCTCCAATTCCCCTCTTTCTAAAATACTGTCCTTCATTCCATTAGCATGGCCTGCTTTGCAAGATATGTTTTTAATACAGCTGTGCAAAGTTATATATCTTGTGTGAACAGGCCCAGGTTACCAGGCAATCCAAATCATTCTATGACTGCTTTTTCTTCCTCATTATTTCCCATTCTTATTATTTACCAATCTTTTTAGCATCTCCAACTTTATCAGGAGTGATTTTAAACACTTGCATCTCTTTAATCCAGCAACCTGGGGAAACAGGGTATGTTGGATTAAAGAATTTTCTGGGTCAGAAAGGGCCTGTGGGGTCTGGGTGTGAGAGGGATGAGGATGGAGTATGTACTTGTTGCCCCCCACCCACTTCTGGAGCGCATGTGGCTCTGTGCACCTCACCACTCCCTGACACCACTGCTACAGCAGTAACAGGAACACTACTGCTATAGCAGTAACAGGGAACAAGCCTTAGGAGAAGCATATCACTGAGTTGCTGTTCCCCCAGCTGGGGAGGAGAGGGAGAATAGAGTGACAGTAAGCAGATGTGCTTCCTCCTCTCACCCTGCCAGCATCCATACCATGGGTGTTCCCAGATCAGGGACACCTGAGTATGGAGGTTCAAGCACATTTACTTCCAGATCACAGGCAGCTGTGTTGATTAGCTTTGGGCCCAGCATTGGTCCCAATAGGTTTCCGGTACAAACATACCCATTTGATGATGATTCCCCATTGATTACTATTTTTTGAGATCTGTCAATTAGCCAGTTCTAAATGTCATTGACCTGTACCTTACTAATACTACATAGTGTTAGGTTTGTAGAGTCAGAAGAGTGGTCCATTTAGTCCAATGTCTGCTATTACAACACAAACTGCTTTAGAGAAAGGTACGAAAAATCCTGCAGTATCCAAGATGGGATAATCTTCTCTTTGCATTAGGTTTCTTGTGACCCCAATGGCAAAAGTTTGGCATTTACCTAGAAATATGACCATTACCCATTTCAATCTAAAAATATCACTACTATAAACATGGATGTTCTTGTTATCTGAATAAATGCCTACTCCTTTTTCAATGCTGCTAAGTTTCTGGCTTCAGTGATCTATTGCAGCATAGAGTTCCACAAGTTAACCATATGATGTGTGCAAAAGTATGTCATTTTACTAATTTTCCATTTGCCATCTTTTAGTTTAATTGAGCATAGCTCTGATATTTCAGTTCCTGACTCTATAAACAGAAAAGAGTAGACACGGTAAATACCACACCAATATCCTCTGTAGTGAAAAGTGATACAGATTATTCATTTAACTTCTCAGCTAAGTACTCATATTCCTTAATTCCTCCTTTCCTCCCTTGTGCTCCAATTGCACCACAGACAATTTTATAGCCATTCTTGCAACATTAAAATTTCTATCTATTCATCATGGAAAATAGAAGAGCTTTGTAATCATCTAATCTTTAATGGAAATGAACTAAGGGGGACCAACAGAGTTTCTGCAAAATAATATATATTACCAATTGGAAATCACAAGTAAATGTGTATAGACTCCAAAATTACACATACACTAAAAGTGTTAAAACAAATTGTTGCTTTACTTTAGGGTTCTAATCCCAGTTCAGCAGCCTATCCTTCTTTATCGCACATAAGCATGTGCTTAGCTTGAATATGTGTTTATGTCCCATTGCCTTCAATAGGTCACAATCACATGTTTAAGTGCTTTGATAAACTGAGGTCCTGTGTATTTCTTGCAACTGCTTATTGGTCAAATCCTGACATTCTGGGATCTTAAAAGCCTTTGGGTTTTGCCTTTTCATTGTTAATAATCATTTGTTGTCCCCATTCCAACACAAGTACTGATTCACCAACACACACACAGACCTTGAATACTCTCACAAAGACAGACTCAGATATTCTTATACACACCAAAGTAACACCCATCAGAATTTTGCCTATAAAGTCTCTGCTTCAAGAGCAAATGCAACAGAACATCTTAGCATTGTCAAAATAGCTTTTAAGAAAGACAGATCATATGAGGACAAATGTCAGCCCTCAGTTCAGATCCGCTCATTTAGTTTTATTATGGACCTGAATTGGACAAATGGATCGATTCCAATAAAAGAGATTTCATCTGTGAAATACATCATCATGGGAAGGTACCTTCAGCTCCCACAACTGCTCACAGCTGACTATTGCTAGGATGGGGAGAGGAACAGATAGGCCCCTTGCTCAGATTTGACCCTTATGGATTCATGGTAACCCTAAGACTTCTGGCATGAACCCTGATATATCCAACTTTCTCAGACTGGTGTGGCCACATGTGATAGATAGTTCCATTGTGGGCAGAACAAGTGAGCAGTCCAGGGACTGACTCCAGTGATGTTCTCTAGCATGCATCATCCCAACAGCGTGCTCTCACCCAAATTCTCTACAGCTGATGGCTCTTTAGCTATGAAACTCTTAATAATTCAGCTATTTGCTTATGAGCCTATTTAAAACCCACTGAACTCATCTGACAAAGAAAAAGTTTGACTGTCTTTCAGTCTGCTTTCAGATTAAAAAGGATACAGGTCAAGCTATTATTGCCCATGGAACATTCTGGTGAACTAGCAGAGATGGATAGCGTTCATAAGCAATTTCGAAAGCCTTTATGACGATACTTCACAACTGTCCTTAATGATGAATGGCAGTCATCAGCTTTGAATGAAAATTTCTCCTCCATCTTCCTTCCCAAAGAAATGGCATTATTGCCTTATTTTCTTACTATAATTTATCAGCCTCAGAATATGGAATTAATGACTAATTCTATAATTATATGCCACATGCCAAATGAAGAAATAGCCTGGAAGGTTAGCTAGTTATTATAGGTTAAGTTATTAGGTACAATACAGATCAAATATTGATTATTATATAAACTGTAATGCTTAGACCCCAATGAAAATGCACCATAGACAGGACAAACAAATCTAACTGCCCTGATATTGCACAGTGTTATCTAACTGAAGACTTCCAGTAATACAGAATTATACGTCAGTTATGAAATAAAGAGATATCCCAGTCTGTCCCTTTTAATCAAACTAGGATTTTTTTTCCATTTCTTCTGGAGCTATTGTTGTTCCTATAATTTATTTTTTTCTCCCAGAGAAACCCTTGTCATATTTGTTCCCCATACACATCTCCACCACCATATGTATGATGACAAGAAAGTCGCAGGCAGGAATAGTTAATTAACCAATGTACAAGTTACCACGGAGTATTTATAGAGATTATGAAAAGCATTCAGCATTGGCCTCACTGCTCCCTTTGATGTCAGTGATAAAACTCCCACAAAATCCCAACCCACAATGTTTGCCCTTGGTAAATGAGGGTCTCAATTAGGCTACAGTTATCTTTGGAGCAGGTCTTATGTCATAGTGACAGCCTTGATTGGGGGTTATTGTGATAGAGGACACAAACCTGGGTTCAAAATGCCTCTTATCACAGTGAGAAGCACGAAGTGTATCATCTGAGGAAGATCATTTAATTATTTCAGTTGCACAAGGAAAGGGCACTCCCAGAGCACTGTGGGGACCACAGGGCAACATTCTTCACTTGCTACTTAACTTAGGAAAGTTTTACCCTTCTTAGCAGCAAATCTCTAGCTTTTTTAAATACGGCTGCTTTTTAGGAAAACTTATTTTTCTACTTACAGTTTTGGTAGGTTGATTCTGAGCTATTAATGTGGGGGAGCACTGCCAGGGGAACTTGTGGCATCTTCTCTGTGTCTTGTAGCAACTTCAAAAATACCTTTTGTGAAAAAGAAAAATAAATGAGATCCTTGTGTGCTATAACTGGCAGTCACCTTCCATCACCTAAGGTATTAGGCCAAGATGCACCACTCCACTCCACTCTGCTGGAACATCCTATAAATTACTGATCCAGTGTGATTACTTTGGGAGAGATCTTTCCCTCTGATGGAGAGAAGTGACTATCCCATGGATTCAGGAGCACCATATGGAGAGCTGCTGACCCTTGCACACTGCTCTATGGTCCTCTCTGCCCTCTAACTGCATAGCTATTTCTAGAACCATGCTGTCATTGAATCCCAGTTGCTGAGTCACAGGATGTATGGGGTCCAGGGTTAATGCACACTAAAAGCAGCATTAACTCTTCACTGGTATTCAGCAGGGGACAGGGCCATAGGCAGTAGCAACAGTTCCCTACCCCGCCTCCTTACACTTCTGACCCAACCCAGAAAACTCTACAGAGAGCTGAAACCTTGGAATTCTAGCCAAAGAGCCTCTGCAGGGATATGGGGAGTAGGTGGACCATCTCCCCCACTCTATCTTCCCCAGACTAGATTTGCCAGTCTAGGCCACTCATGGAAATGGTGGGGATGATTTAGTCCTTTAAGAGCAGAGATTATGCAGACATAAAGATAACATAATGTACAATTTGTAGCCAACTCAATTGCCATCTGCACACAGACACCATGAACAATTAATTTTTTTTTTAAAGATTGCAAGGTCTTGGTTGAGAGATGTTAGTGTATTTGAATAAAAGTGACAGGCGTATAATTTCCATCAGTACATCTGAAAGGTACAAGCTTTGGAAGAAGAGATGGAGGAAAGTTAATGGAAGTTTTTTTAGAAAACTAGCAGTAATATTTTCCATGGATGTAATAACCTAGAGGTAAATCTAGCCTTCAGTTAACACTGGCAGATGGCTAATGGGGCCCAGGCTACAGTGCTGTTTAACTGCGGTGCTGACTTCCAGTTTTGGGGTGGAGCTCAGGGTCTAGGATTCTGTGAGACGAGAAGTCTACACTGCAACTTAAAAGCCACACACCCAAATCAGTTGACACTGGTCATCCATGGGTTTTTTATTTCAGTGCAGAGATACCCTAAGAGGCATATATAAATGTTACACAGTATCCAATGGATTTGCCTGACAGCTGCTATATTGTGCTCGATCCTGCTTCTATACCTTACGCCTGCTGCAATGAACAGGAAGTTCAGGATTAGAATATTGGTGGTAGAGGTGCTTGAATACTGCAGTAGAGTGCTAATAGTGACTCATGCATTGTTAAGGCACTTACTCACATCTCATTGTAAGCCCGACAAATAAAAACTCAAAAACTTCCTTGCAAGCATATGTTCCCTTTGTTAATTCACACTCTCTCTCAAAGCCACAAAATCATTTTTGGGGGAAGGAGGAAAGAAGAAAGAGAAGGCATAGGGAGATTTTAGAATAACCAAAAAAGAAAGCAAAACACATACACTACTGGGGTAGGTAGAACTGACTGCAATATTTTCATCTGAATTTGACTGAAGAGATACCAAGATAGGAGATATTGAAAAATGAGCATTTTCTGAATAACCATTTTCTTCCCCAAAAAGCCATCTATAACAATACCGCATTGTCAAGAAACTTCAGATTTTGGTTCAAATATAAGCTTGCATACCAAATCAGCAGATTTTATAACTCCCATGAGCACCTTTCAACAGAGGTCTCACAAAAATTGTAAGTAACTTGGACTCTATGTTGGTGAAACCTCCTGTTTATGATTGTCAAATTCTGATTATAACAATGTTAAAAAAAATATTCATGGCCATATTTAATTGCTCCAATGAAGGAATCCAATATTGGCTATAACAAAAGCACACAGTAGCAAAGGAATCCACCATACAGTGGATAATAAAAGCTGATCGATTTGATATACATTATCTTTGTGGCAAGGCAGTTTCTTGTTCTATTGAGAAACTACACAGATTATGTTTTGTTTAGTCAATATAATTGCCATTTAATAGCGATGATGGACTGCCAAGCTAACTGTAAGTGAACTGTTTTGGCCATTAGCTCAAGGACAGAGAAAGTTAAACGTCTCATGCTGTTTCTGTATTAGAGCCTACAGGGGACACTGACTGTCCAAACCCATATCTTGACAGACTCCTTTGGGACAGCTTGATGCTACATACCGGTTTCCAATATTGACAAGCCAGGGGCTCATAACTAAAAACAAAATAAATACCCATCTCTAATTAAATACTTCTGTCACCCACCGTAGTATTTTAACTCCTCAATGCCACTTAGTGTCAGGAATGTATCTATCTATTGTACAGATAGAAACAAAACTGTACAGATTGTAACTTGCCCAGTGCCCCCAAAGGATGTCTGTGACAGAGCTGAGAACTAAATGAGAATACTGGTGCCAGTATTAGCATCTCTGAGGTAGAAGAGGAGATTTGAGGAAGGAGATGTATAGCCCCCCCATAACATGTCATTGCAGATGTGTACCTTTAAATGATG